TATAGTAACTAATATATATATATATATATATATATATATATATATATATAATTTATTACTATCTTTACTTGCGTTTTTATATTGATATATTACATAATTACTGTAAATGTATAAAACGTACATATTTTTTGTATATTTATTCTTTGATAAATTTGAATGTTTTATCTTCAGGAAAGATTTCTGTTTGTTTTCATATGTATCATACTTATCACAATATTATCTTTGTAAATCCACATAAATAATAAATAATTTATTTTTACACATATCAATTTAATGACTTATGTTAATCATTTCCTTATCTTTTGTGAATGAAATATAAATTTTGTAATGTAGTCAGCAAAATATACTGCAAAAATTCTGGAATAAATGAAGGACTTGGATATCTAATTTTTCTATAAATTTCTTTTTAAAAAAAATTCTTTTATTCCCTATGTATGTTTAGATAGATATTAAATTTTGTATTTCTATAGATTTGTTATAAAATTTTCTATATTTTTAGGCATTCGAAGAGGCTGTCGATAAATTTAAAGATACTCATAATAAATTAGTAGGAGAATATGAACTTCATTTTGGTATCAAAGCTTTAAAGGAAAAGCGTTATAAAGACGCTTTGATGCACTTTTCTGCGGGCGCTAAATTGTCATCATCTGGAAGCATGTTTAATTTAGGTCTTTGTTATGAATTAGGCATTGGAACTTTAGCAGATCAAGCAAAGGTACGCTTTAAAATAATATTCAAAGAAAAAAGTGCGAAAAACAATACATTTAAAATACACTTATGAAAATCCTTTCTTTTGATCTTTGTATGAAAATAAAAAAATAATGTTATATACATAGATGAAGTATACATATAGAAGAAGTATACATAGATGATATGTACAGAGAGATTTATATTTATGAAAGATATATAAAAATATAATTTTTCTTCAGGCTGCAAAATATTACAACGATGCCGCGGCCCATGATCATGCTGATGCGTTATATAATTTAGGAGTTTTTTATGCTCAAGGAAAGGGCGATTTACCTATTGACATTGATACCGCACGTACTTACTTCACCAGAGCAGCAAGATTAGGTCAGGTACAAGCCCAGCATGCGCTTAACTTAGAAAAAGCTGATATACAATTGAAAAAAAATATATCTACTATACCGAATGCAGGCTTAAAAAGTTCAAAATTAGAGAAGAGTGACAGAAATGATATACCTGTAAAATTAAGTGACTTTATGTTAAGTACAAATGTCGATGACAAACTCACGATCTCAAAATCCAACCAAATATTTTTAAAGTTTCTCGGCTTAAGAGAACATAGTCAAATACCTATAATAACTACTACTGGTTGCGTGTCATAGAAAGTATAAAAATACTTTTGCTATCTCAGTGTAAGATCTATTCAACGGAATCATGTAACGATA